GTATTAAAATATCTTCTAACTATTGTAAAAATATTTTCAGGAAAATATTAATTGAAAAAGTTGCGTAAATAATTAGAAAATAATTTAGTTATATTCTTTGGCCAAGAAGTTCATATTTGGAAAATATTTTATGAAAAACATTTACAAAACGTTTTAATCATATATTTTCAAAAAACATTTTCACAGAAACTTTATAAAAATATTAAGTCAACATTTGTATGCAATCATATAACATAATATCTGGTTATCCTGAGAAGAAAATATTTATACAATATTGTGTAGTGAAATATTTATTATTTAATCACTTCAAAATATTCACAAAATAGTATCATTTCCCATATGAGAAATAATTATGAAGCTACTTTTAAATACTAATTTATCAATGTGATTAAACCTCGTAGGTAGGTACTGTACAATTTTCAGTTGATAAAACTAAAAAATATTTTCATAGCTATATTTTATTAAAATGACTACATAAWGTATATAATATGTAACGTGTTGATAAACTATGCCGTTTTTATAATCATCTCTAAAACTATTGCCGCTATATGATATATATTCATTAAATTCATATATATTCATTGGTTTTTTTTTTTTTTAAATTCGAAAAAATACTAATTGTCGATATATAGAATAATACATTTTATATTATAATAGGTATATTTATAACATATAAGTAATATAAATTATTATATAAGATATCGTCAATTTTTTTAAATGATTTGTTGGGCTTTTGTAATCATCAAAACTATGAACTGGTTTTTACAATTTTAAGACGAAAGCAACGAAATAAGTATTGTGGTATAACCCAGGCACCTATACTACCCACCAAAGTGAATATATTTTTTGAACGTGAAGTGTCCTCTTACCGTCAAATATTATTTGTTTATTTTTTTGCCATCATCTTTTTGAGCAGTAAAATTAGTCCAATTTTCTACTTCAGTATCTATYCTAATAGAAACGTAWAACTATTTGATATTTGGGAGATTTATAAGTAATAACTATGAGTAGTTTTTAAATGTGAGGTGAAAAACAAAAGAAACCATTAAAGAAAAATGGGRATTGATTTATTTAACAAAATCGATTTTGTAGGTACTTTTGGCGTAACTCAAAAACCAATTACTACTAATAGATGTTTTAAATTTTCACACAATGTTCGTACAACCATTCTCTACGAAATCAAAATAGGTATGTTAAATATTTTTGAGTCTTTTCTTATAGCCATAAGAATTTTTCGATTTTTTTTTTCAAAAAATAATTTTAAATAAATTAAAACTTTAAACTATATATAAATTTAT